CGCATATTCCCTACGCACGTAAGTATGCTCCATTTTCCAACCCTTCCCCTCACTACATCCACCGATCCAGCGCTCCCTAAAACATCCCGCAAAACCCCTAACACACACCCTGCACCCCTCGGCTCCACACCTTTCCTACGAATCACACTACTCCAATCTCCTCCTAACAAAGAATAAACAGGCAACCCCCGCATATGATATATTAAGGTGCCCCGAACAAAATCCTCTTTTACACACCTATTACTATCCGCCGGCATATATACACTCACGAAACACACCCATACCCCAGCCCATATCCCATCCACCTTCACTACTCTCCCTCCCCTCCCCCTTCTTCCCAGTGTAACATTCGAGAGGGACTGACCTCCGCTATTAATACAGCTAGTTAGTTAGTTTAATATGTTTATTATGCACCCCATACCCATCCTGTGGGCGGTAGTCAAAAGATTACAGAGGTACATAATTGGTCCAGGGACTGGACTCCAAAGTTTTGATAGCTGAGCAAGTTACAGAGGTAATGAACTCACAATTTACAAAGGTAATGAACTCACAATTTACAAAGGTAATGAACTCACAATTTACAAAGGTAATGAACTCCAGGTAAGTCTGGTCACAATCATGACAAGTTACAAAGGTATTTACAGATTACAGAGGTACGTAATGGGTCCAGGGACTGGGCCCCAAAGTTTTGATAGCTGAACTAGGTACAAAGGTAATGAGCTCACAGGTTACAAAGGTAATGAATTCTGTAGAATGGTTACTTACGTTTTATACTTTGGCTACAATCATGAACAAATTATAGAGTAATGAGCAATTCACACTTCCACACCCGGTCACAATTGTAATGAGTTATTGGTGCAAATATTGATTGTTGAGTCACACACACCACACACACACACACACACACACACACACACACACACACACACACACACACACACACACACACACACACACACCACACACACACACACACACACACATTAGTTTAATATCTTTATGCACCCCATACCCATCCTGTGGGCGGTAGTCAAAAGATTACAAAGGTACATAATGGGTCCAGTGACTGGACCCCAAAGTTATGATAGCTGAACTAGTTACAAAGGTAATGAACTCCAGGTAGATCTGGTCACTAATCATGGCAAGTTACAGAGGTAATGAATCAGCTTCACTCCTATACATGGTTACAGTCATGAACAAATTACAAAGTAATGAACCACTGATACGTCCACACCTGGTCACAATTGTAATGAGTTATAAATACAAATATTAAGTGGATCATACACCCACACTAGTGCGCGCGCGCACATACACACACGAGGGCGCACGCACGGACATGTGCACACGAGCGTACAAATATATGCATACACACAAGGACGCACACCCACACACACACACACCCACACACACACACACCAACACCCACACACACACACAGCCTCACACACACCCACACACACACCCTCACACACACCCACACACACACACCCACACACACACACCACACACACACACACCCCACACACGCACACACACACCCACACACGCACACACACACCCACACACGCACACACACACACACACACGCACACACACACACACACCCTCACACACACCCGCAACACACACCCTCACACACACCCACACACACGCACGCACACACACACACACACACACGCGCCCTTAGGCCACTCATATTTAATGTTAAATACTTATAAATGCTATCGGGGGCTTACCCGTTGTCTTGTGTCCTTGTTTTTCTTTACGTTTCTGCCCACTGTTCTTATCAATATTCCCTTTCCTAGCCTCACCTTTCCCCTGCCCCCTCCCCCCCCCCCCAGAGACTTGTCCTCGCACTTCCACCACGGTTTTTTTTAGCAGGTCTCTGTGCTGGTGTAAGGACATCTTCACTATCAGAAGCACCAGCCTCTCTCTTACGTGATGCACCAACTACTTGCATGTCCTCATCACCTTCCTCCCTGTGTACCTCAACCTCAGCCTCACAAACCCTCGGAGGTTGCTCGTCCCTGCTACCCTCATTACCTGCCTCATGAATCCTGCCTCCTCCACAGATTCCATTCTTTACAATACTCAAGAGGACCTTCCTCATTATGATCAACCAGTAAGCCTTGTAACACAGAGTTTATTGCAGCCGACACACCATTACCCAAATCCTCTTGACCCACCTCGTCCTCCATTCTCATTGTCTCAATAACCTGAGGCACCTCCAGCAACGTTGCACACTCCTCAGAATGTTCCTCTACTATGTCACTCCAAGTCTTACGAACCCCGTGATACTGTCCTGAAGTCTCGGTCATCTCTTCACTATCCTTCCCCACTCCTGTCCCAGCGCCTTGAGTCTCAGGTGCTGATCATCGACGACACTGCGCAGCCATGTGTTCATAGGCCCCACACAATCTACGTCTCTGGCCCGCATATGTTACATATACCTGAGTCCTAAAATCGCTCAATACCACATATGAAGGTATGGATCTGCGCAAAGGCATCTTAAGGGTAAAGGAGCCCTCACGGATGCCAGCATACATATCCGCAGACCACCTTCCCACTGTAGCTAAATGTATTACACCATACTCTCCAAACGCTGCTCGTATGTCCTCCTCATCCGCCTCAAATGGCACGTTTCTGGAGTTTACCTGGAGAGAGTTCCGGGGGTCAACGCCCCCACGGCCCGGTCTGTGACCAGGCCTCCTGGTGGATCAGAGCCTGATCAACCAGGCTGTTACTGCTGGCTGCACGCAAACCAACGTACGAGCCACAGCCCGGCTGGTCAGGAACCGACTTTAGGTGCTTGTCCAGTGCCAGCTTGAAGACTGCCAGGGGTCTGTTGGTAATCCCCCTTATGTATGCTGGGAGGCAGTTGAACAGTCTCGGCACCCTGACACTTATTGTATGGTCTCTTAACGTGCTAGTGACACCCCTGCTTTTCATTGGGGGGATGTTGCATCGTCTGCCAAGTCTTTTGTTTTCGTAGTGAGTGATTTTCGTGTGCAAGTTCGGTACTAGTCCCTCTAGGATTTTCCAGGTGTATATAATCATGTATCTCTCCCTCCTGCGTTCCAGGGAATACAGGTTCAGGAACCTCAAGCGCTCCCAGTAATTTAGGTGTTTTATCTCCGTTATGTGCGCCGTGAAGGTTCTCTGTACATTTTCTAGGTCAGCAATTTCACCTGCCTTGAAAGGTGCTGTTAGTGTGCAGCAATATTCCAGCCTAGATAAAACAAGTGACCTGAAGAGTGTCATCATGGGCTTGGCATCCCTAGTTAACTTTATACAAGTATAAAACTTGGATACATCCCTCATCCGTACCTCCAAACTTGAGTTAACAGTCATACACACATCCTGGTACTTCACCATCTTGTCGTAGATTGCAGCCGTCACAAACATCCTTGATGCACCATTTAATGAAATGCCATACAGGTCGTCATTGTTGATGCAAAAGGTATCGCGCAGGATGGCAAGCAACATAATAGATGCATTCGAGTTATACACCATGCCTTTCAACACGTCGATACACAGTGTTGATCCTCCTCCTGGTGGACTGTGCCATCTTGCGAAAATCACTCATAGCTACCAACAGGTGCGAGTGCTGCAGCCAACGTCCGACCTCCACCAAGGGTGATCGACGAATGCGTTTTTAATTTACACAGTTGAGGGAACCCTTTAGTATTGTACAACTTGATGTTAGATCTGACATGTTGTCAGACACAGTATTGTAACTAGATATCAGAGCCGACACGTTGTCAGACTGTTGTAACTAGATGTCTGAGCTGACACGTCAGGCAGAGTTGTAACTTGACGTCATAGCTGACACGTTGTCAGGCACAGTGTTCGTGTCTGCCACTGACTGCCTTCATGGCTTTTATTTATAAGAGTACAAGTTGCCTGGATCAAGAGTCCTTCAGTGGCATGAAGAACCCTCCCTTGAGGGGGTTCTGATAACAGAACCTAACCTTGCCACGCTGGCGTGAGATTCATCTGTAAAAGCTTGCATTTGTGGTCACAGTGGTGGCCCATGCTAACCTCCCTATGGTGTATAAATATACCTAGTTGGATGAATCTTATAATAGCCAGTAAAATAGGTACGGGGGTTTTGTAACTGGTGGGGGTCCATCCGGGGGCCCAAAATACTCAGCATTACCGGGTTCTATATAGTAGTTGTCGTTTGATTCAGCGAACCCCAGTAAGATGTACATTACTTGTAGAAAAAAGATTATTTTTATTTTTAAAAATTTCATTATTTTTTATTTATTGGTGTACATTGTTAGTATTTTATTTATTACTTTTAGTTTATTTTTATATTTTTAGAAAATTTGTTTTTTTTTTTAATCGATTTATTATTTGTGGTTCATTACTTTTTTTTTTCGGGTTATTGTTCATTGATTTTTTTTTTTAGATTTTTTTTTTCTTTAGTTTATTGGTATTTAACTTTTTACTTTGTTTTTTTGTTTTTTGTTTGTTTATTATTTTTATAATTTGTTTTATTAGTTGTTGTTTTTGGTTTTTTAATTTTTTTCTTTTAGTTTTTATTTTTTTTTTATTTATTGGTTTATTTAAATTTTTTAGTCTATTAATTTAATTTATTGGTTTTGTGCCATTTTATTTAAACTGTTGGGTTTTTTAGTCTATTTTTTTTATTTCATTGTGAGTTTATTGGTTTCTTAGTTTATTGGCCTGTTTATTTATTTGTTCATTAGTTTATCGTTTTATTGGGTTTAAAGCTGGTCGACTACATAAGGATCATGAAGGCCGCATGTCACCTGTACACTACCAGACAAATCAACTCTCAGTGTATATACACTGAGATACACGTCTCGCGCTCTGTAGAGCTTAATCAAACTATGATAAAGCCTTACACAGAGCGATATGTTGTCACTGTTATTTCTCATTTATGATGTACTCTTTTTTTTCTTCTGTCTTTACACCATTCACGTTTATTATTATTATTATTATTATTGCTTGGTTATTTATTTTTTTCGCAGGCCCTTGTCATTCGGAAACTTCCCAGGGTTTCCGGCAGCTTCTTCGACATCCTTCAGATCAGGACCATCCTTCAGATCCAGAAAAGGGGGTTCCAGGAGCTTCGGAAGCTCCAGAGGTCCTACCGGGTTTCCTGGCCTTGGTGGAGGACCAGATTCTTTCTTGGAAGCAGCCACTACTGAGAGGAGCGAGACTGAGGAGGAGGAGGTTCAAGGCATCGAGTTCAGCGGGAGTGCTGGCTTCGGCAACTCCAGAGCAGGAGCTGGAGGGAGTCGTAAGGGTGGAGCAAGTAGGATTATCTCTAAAGGAGGAGGAAGCGCAAAGTCTCCCTCATCGCCGTCCACTTCGTTTGGGTTCCCGGAGGTTTCATCCAGTTTGGGCAACCCATTCGGGTTTTCCGAGGGTTCGTCCAGTTTGGGAAGCCGAGACCCATCTTCGTCGTTTCCATTCGGTGGCTCCCCAGGCTCCGCCTTCAGCGCATCATCGGGTATTGATTTCGGTGGATTGAGTAGTGAAGCTTTCAACGGGGCAGGGGATTCGATTTTCGGCAGATCACCAAATCTAGAGCGTAGTGGCCCTGGAGCGCCAACTTTCGGCCTGTCTTCAGGTGCTGACTTCAATCCTGGTAATGTTTTTGGGTCACCAGGTTCACCCTTAAGTGCGCCATCTGGCAGTGCTTTCGGAACTTCTAATGCCTTCTTCCCTGGTTCGCCAGGAGCTCCCCAGGTGGGTAGACCTGCAGCTGGCAGCACCGCCAACACCTTCCCCAACTATATGGCGTCCTTCACAGGCTCCGGCAATAATCCCTTTGGTTCGTCACCCATCAAGTTTCCGTCTTCTAGGGGTCAGTTCCCACCATCTTCAAGCAGTATCTTCCCACAGCCTGAGGGAGGTTCTGTACTCTTCCCACCTGGCAACAACTTTGGATTGCCTGAGTCCCCTGCAAGCTTTCCTTTTCCAATAGATGAAAATATAGCCAAACTGTTTCTAGGAGAAATAGACCTCACCACCCCAAAGTAAGTACTTCATTATTATTATTATTATTATTATTATTATTATTATTATTATTATTATTATTATTATTATTATTATTATTATTTTCAACAAGTCGGCCGGTCTCCCACCGAGGCAGGGTGACCCATAAAAGAAAGAAAATCCCCAAAAAGAAAATACTTTCATCATTCAACACTTTCACCTCACTCACACATAATCACTGTTTTTGCAGAGGTGCTCAGAACACAACAGTTTAGAAGCATATACGTATAAAGATACACAATATATCACTCCAAACTGATAATATCCAGAAACCCCTCCTTTAAAGTGCAGGCATTGTACTTCCCATTTCCAGGACTCAAGTCCGGCTATATAAAAATAACCGGTTTCCCTGAATTCCTTCGCTAAATATTACCCTGCTCACACTCCAACAGATCGTCAGGTCCCAAATACCATTCGTCTCCATTCACTCCTATCAAACACGCTCATGCACGCCTGCTGGAAGTCCAAGCCCCTCGCCCACAAAACCTCCCTTACCCCTTCCAACCTTTTCGAGGACGACCCCTACCCCGCCTTCCTTCTCCTACAGATTTAAATGCTCTCCATGTCATTCTACTTTGATCCATTCTCTCTAAATGACCAAACCACTTCAACAACCCCTCTTCAGCCCTCTGACTAATATTTTTATTAACTCCACACCTTCTCCTAATTTCCACACTCCGAATTTTCTGCATAATATTTATACCGCACATTGCCCTTAGACAGGACATCTCCACTGCCTCCAACCGCCGACTCGCTGCTGCATTCACAACTCAAGCTTCACACCCATATAAGAGTGTTGGTACTACTATACTTTCATACATTCCCTTCTTTGCCTCCATAGATAATGTTTTTTGACTCCACATATACCTCAATGCACCACTCACCTTTTTTCCCTCATCAATTCTATGATTAACCTCATCCTTCATAAATCCATCCGCCGACACGTCAACTCCCAAGTATCTGAAAACATTCACTTCTTCCATACTCCTCCTCCCCAATTTGACATCCAATTTTTCTTTATCTAAATCATTTGATACCCTCATCACCTTACTCTTTTCTATGTTCACTTTCAATTTTCTACCTTTTACACACACTCCCAAATTCATCCACTAACCTTTGCAAATTTTTCTTTAGAATCTCCCATAAGCACAGTATCATCAGCAAAAAGTAGCTGTGTCAATTCCCATTTTGTATTTGATTCCTCATAATTTAATCCCACCCCTCTCCCGAACACCCTAGCATTTACTTCATTTACAACCCATCTAAAATATAAAAACAACCATGGTGACATTACCATCCCTTCCTAAGACCTACTTTTAACGGAAGTAGTCTCTCTGTCTTCTACCGCCCTAACCTGAGCCCCCCACTATCCTCAAAAAAACTCTTACAGCATTTAGTAACTTCCCACCTATTCCATATACTTGCAACATCTGCACATTCTCCCCCTATCCACTCTACATATGCCTT